GGTGGAGGCCGGCGGTTGGGGCGGGGCATACCGAGGGCATGCATGAGGAGGAAGAAGCTGAATAGTGCTGGTCTGCTTTGGGCTGTTGGATGAAGATCTGACAGTCCAGATGAAAAGTGACCAGTGCAGAATCAATTTTTTTAGGTGCCTGACTATTTTTTTTGTGAAAGAAAAGGTGTACCCCTCGATTCCATTAACGAAACCAAAAATTTGTTATTACAACCAAAACGCAGACCAAAAACGAACTAGAACCACCTGCCTCACACATCTTGTTTCCAGACTTCCCCCATTGCCCTCTTTGACAAATAGGCAAGGCTTTAAGGAAAATAGCTTTTCCTATGTGAACAGCGCACACAAGAACTCTACTAGACTAGTCTCAACCTAAAACATCTAAGCAAACAAGACCTCACAAACACAATCCCTACTATATTTGATTCAATCTCCAATCGTCAGAATCCAATATGCCCAGCTTCTTCGCGCCTGGAAGATGTCACTGGCGACTCGCTCCAGTACTTTTGCGCCCTGTTGTAACTCCACTTTTGCATCCTCCCTCCCCTGTAAAATACTCCAATCATTAATCCAATGAATCATCTTATACATAACCACACTAGGTGCCTGACTAATAGACACTCCCTTTTCCTTTTGCCCAGCAAGCAAGCCTAAAGCCATTCACTGGCTCTGGGCGCTGGGGTGTGGTTGGAACCGCAGACATAGGCGTGGCCAATTACGACAAGCTACATGGGCGAAGGAAAAGGAAACCACAAAGGTGGGCGCATGCCGGCACCCCGGAGTACTATACACGCATGCATCATCGGCGACGTTACTCACTGACCGACGCACCTACCTTGGCTAGCCACCCATAGCCGGTACCAGTCGCATACTACTCCTAGCTAGGCTAGCTATAGCTAGGTCGTAGCTTACTATAGGAGATGATGGATGATAGCTTTGGAAGGGAGGAGAGGAGAGCGGCCCTGTTCACGGCCAGCCCGACCTTCCCGAAAGGGAAAGTGGGCACCGACGCGCCCAGCGCCCAGGCAGCGGGAGGAGCGCAAGCCGCCTCGCATTATTTCCCTTTTCCTGCCCCCGGCCGGTCCAGATCTGGCGCCAGTGCCCGGATGGCGACGTGAGAGCCGCGACCTGCACGGCGGCACACCCCACCACCACCGCCCTACCTATGTACGTGGCCACCCTAGCCATGCGTACCTATGTACGTACGTGCTCTCGGTCCATCCATCGGCTCTGCGCATTGCATGCATGCATGTCTCGTTCGTTTCCTCCGGGCCGCCCCTCGCTGGCATGCCATTGCCACCCGTGGCCCGGTGGCCGGCCGGTGGTGCCAAGAGACACGCAGAGTACGTGCGTACGTACCCATGCAAATGGCCGAGACCGCTTCTGCGTCGCTGGGCCGGGGTCTCCCCATCTCTGGCTCGCTGGCCGCGCGCTTGTCTGCACGGCGGCGTAGGCCGGCCCCGTGCCCGTGGGGCAATGCCGCGTGTCGCCACGCCTGCGCCGTGTGTCTGGCTGGACCATGTCGCGCGATCGATATCACCCAACGTTGTTTCATAATTTGGCTCCTACCGTACCGTACCCCCTGCATGCTAGCTGGGTTACCCAGGAGGTCCCAGGGTACGTGCATGCATGGCTTTGGCGGGGCGCTGGCCAGTTGAGTAAGTTGGCCGGTTAAAACCTCTGTGGTTAATCTGTTGCTATGGCCCTGGCGACATGTATAAGCCGCCCGACAGCGGCACCTGCTGAATGCAGATGCAGGCAGCGTGACGAGCGCCGCGGCCGCCGTCCGCAGTCACCGCTGGGCCGGTACCTGTGGCGTAAATGTGTGCCTCGTTCGTGTTTTACTGGAACTGTGATCGATGAACCTAAGATTTTTGCTTGGAAGTGGCCTGTGAATGATACGATGATGCATGGACGGATGGCG